AACCAAGGTGATCACTTCCTGATTGCCCTCCATTAATTTAGCACACTACTGAGCGGACTGAGGCGCAGCGGTCGAGCTAACAAACACACCCCACAAGTAAAAGTTAGCTCCCGGATTAATTTCATAAGTACATAAAAATACGTTACCGGCTCTGATGAGCAGATCTAGCTGGTTTGCGTGCCCCTCATGCTGTGAAGTCGCCATGTTTTCCCCTTGCTGCAGATTCACATTGACTCCTCACTGAATTGTATAGGAAGCTACAAGCTCAGATCACTCCGCCGCTAATGGGAAATCTCTTCGAATTCAACTAGACACACTACAGCGGCAGTAAGGTATCCCTCCGCGGCCGAGACAGGAAATCCTTCCTTCGCCCTCCCTCATTGCGTAGTGACAACGTCAAATAAAGCTGTACTGTGATTTTAATAACTCACTCAACAAAAATCGAAATATCAGAGAACAAGGTTTCCAAGTTTGCAAAGAAATTGCCAGATAAAGGTAGTAAACTTCAACAAGGCGTTAATTATGTTGTAAAATATTATTGCCAACAATAACTCAACAACTGCTCAGTGCAAACAGTTAGCTTTTAAACACAATATTATTGCTATAACTTTGTGTAAAATGTCGTTTAAGGTAAGCAGACACAATTAAATGAATTACACAAAAAGAAAACAGTGAGCATTTTGAACACTAGTTTATTCTGCTATGGATCACTATTGTTCATCCATGGAACTGCCCCTCCCTACCTCAAGGAACTCCTCACCCCTCATGCTTCCTTGCAGACCTCCCACTCCAGCAAAGCCAACCTCCTCAAACCCCCCAGGACCAAGCTCCGTACTATGGGAGACCGGGCTTTCTGCTCGGCTGCTCCCAGTCTGTGGAACGCTCTCCCCGACCACATGAGAGCACCACAGACCGTGGAAGCTTTTAAAAAAGGCCTCAAAACCCATCTGTTCAATAGAGACTTTTCCTATACTATTTCTTTTATTTATTACTACCCCTTTATTTAGTTTTTATTGTTTGTTTTTACTGCTTTTTATTAAATTATACCGTGTTGTGTACAGTTTTATATTGTTCCATGCTCACTGCTTGTAGCACTTCGGGATTTTAACTCAAATATGAAGTGCGTTATTAATGAAACCCATTATTATTATTATTGTTGGTGGTAGATACCAAGTATTATAACATTCCTAGTTTTGCATGTAATCACTTCATCCATCTGCTTTAAACAGCATTTTATATTTGGATCCAGATTTAACAATACAGTCAACTATATGTACTATGTATTATATACAGGGCCGCCCCTGGCCAACTTGGGAGTGAAAACATTTTTTTTGGAAACAAAGTAGGCTACTTTGCAAATATAATTACTGTTTATTATTATTATCAACACAGTTACTTTTTTATGCAGTGAGGTAAATGGTAAATATGCATGTATGTCGTTCAGTATGCGTTTACAGGTGAATACGTCTGCATTTCCTGCCAAATACTAGCCTCAAAAAGATTAAAATATAATTAATGCAAATAAACTACTTCTACTAATAATCATAATCAATTCAATAATATAAATACTATATTATATTATTATAATATAGTTGTAATATAGTCAAGACAAAACATGCTTATTACATGCTCAAAAACTGATATTTCTTAAATCTGTATTCAAATGTAGTTCCCTCTGTCAGCAATGTATCAACAACTACACACACATTTCTATCAGTATTTCTCTGTGTTGTGGTTGACATGATGATGACTGTTAGGAGTTAAGGGGAGAGGCTGAGCATCACCATGAAATGTGCAAATTAACATACAAATGAATAAAAGGGGAAAAAATGCTCCATGTTTTTTAGGCTGTAAACTTTAACTGTTATGTAAGCCAAAACAGACAGTTTATCGCTCTTCCTCCTGTACATTAGCAGATAAAGGCATAACATACTTGAATGAATGGTAAATAAAGAATGCTGGAAATAACTGCATCTCCATTAGCCTATATGCTATGCAGAGACTGCCTTCTTCATGTCGTGAATTGCAGCTGATGGTTTAATATGGCAATTGGCAATTTGACTTATACAACATTCGCAAGTTGTACATTTGACTCATACAATAACCCACCTTCGAGTGATGCTCTAGTTTTATGGAGCTATTTCAGGGTCATAAGTTTTGATCATTCAAAAAAAATACAGTTTATTTGAAAGTTCAAGTTTTTATCCTGAACTTTGAAAAATACAATGATGTATTCAAAATAAAAATAAGTATTTGAAATCATTTTTCAGGTTGAATATTATTTTTGATTCAGTTCAGCAATTTTTTTGAATAAAATATTTATTTTCAGATTTCCGTTTTTATACATATTTTGTTATTTGATTCCTTATTTTTTTCAGTTGCAGATTTTTCGTTTTTCAGATTCAAAACAATAATTTTTTCAGTTTCAAATCTTGTTTTTTCAGGTTTCACATTGCTTTTCACCTTCAGATCGTTTTTCACTTTCAGACNCTTTCCCTACACGACATATATTCCTTCCCAGAACCAAAGTATGCTTTTAAAAAGGTTTAATGAGATGATGGAATCAAAGCTGAACTGTATAACATAAAAAGGCACACATGCAGAAAACACCAGAAAGGGGTTCTGGGGGATTCTCCCCCAGGAGATTTTTAGAAATACTAACATATAAACTACGCATTCTGGTACACTCTGAGAAGAAAATAAATACATCTATTACTACCCGACATATTAATAATATTTTATGCCATTGTTTGTTTTTCACAACAAACAAAAAAATTCAAAACTTTCTTCACTCACACATCCGCGACCCACTTGAAACGGGGTCGCGACCCACCAGTTGAGAACCACTGCTCTCGATCGTCATTGATGGATTCTACTTTGAGTTTTGACTATAAAATGTGTCTTTATGAATAATGTATGTTTTGATGAGAAAGTTATTGCTAATCCTTCTAAGTGTGGAAATGTGCTGTGGCTGATCAGGAGGTTGTGGATGTTGTAGTGTCATGCTAATTTTCATCCAAATACATAAAAACACCGAAGTAGAATTATTCAGAAATGTGAAAAAATTCTTGAGAAATTGCAACAAAAAGATCCGCTTGGCTTAGGTGGAAAAATGGGTGTATCGATAAGCGCAAAATGTGACATGGAATTACAATTGATGTCCCCTTACTCACATTAATACATGAAGCGAATACAAATGTGTTTATCCATTGAGTTTTCACATTGTTTTTCACCATTTCAGGTCATCTGGCTGTCTTCTGATTTCCTAATATTGTTGCATCTTCTTCTTCTGCTTCGTTATTGTAGGACACAAAACAAAATGCTAATGTTGCCGTTGCATCTATTATTATAATTATTTGTTTACACCGCACACAGGCGTAATTGGTCACTTCCGGCAATTATCACACAGATGTGGTTTAAGGTATTTAGTCCACCTGTTGTGTATTGGGCTTGTGTGAGAAAACAAAGAGGTTGAGCTGGCTCTGACATTTTTCTGTTGACCTAATTGTAGCGACATAACTTATTGGGAATTTTGTCGCTACAATTATAATGGTTTTCCATCTGAAGAGATGGCGCCACCTGCTGCTTATCTCCAAGAACCAGCTCCTAATAATTGCATAACTGTAGTGGATAGAAATGAGAATAGTCTGCATTTCGGGAATATGGTAAACATTTTGATGAAAATCTGGCTAGGAGGGCTAAGATGCAAAGAATTGGAGGAATGGAAACTTCAACTTATAGGTTCTCCTCAGTAATGGCGTTTGGTCAAAAGGAAGCTTGCAGTGAGAATTTCAAACCCTGTCTGCTTTGTCACCTCTTCTGACCTGAATAACAACAACAACAACAACAACAACAACAACAACAACAACAACTTGAAGTTCCCTAACTGACTTGACAGTGGACGTGCCAGTCGTGAACAGGCCATTTTCTTCTAGGGCAAATTGCAGGAAGCACAATATTTGTTGAAGGCTAAATATGTGTAACCAATCAGAGCACACTGGGCTCTAGTTTCAGACAGAAAAGAGGTGCTGCAGCACAGGCTGCATGAGAAAAAACAAACACTTTTTAAGACACGAAAGCATGTAAACATGTCACATAAGCGGCACAAAATACCAATATAAACCTGAAATGTAGCATAATAGGGCCCCTTTAAACAGCATCAATCAGTTTGTGTATATCTGTCTCTGCTTTGCCTCGTATCCTGTCACCCTGCAGCACAGAACAGGGACTGAGGGTCCTGTGGTTGCTAGCAACAGTTACCATGACTCCAGTCTGCCCTGCCTACTGTAGATCTACCACTGGACACTGCGTGCTAGTTCAAGGGACTGACTTCCTGTCAGTGCATTTCTTCCTGTAACAGCAGACAGGCACTTTTTGTGGACCAAAGCTAGAAGGAAATAGATGGAAGAGATACGGGAGAAGCCGTCTCTTTTTACAAGATCTGAAGTTGGGACAGATGGAGGAAGTTGTAAGGGATTATTCAGGTTGTTGAGTGAGAGCAGTGAAGTTGTGTAAATGTTCCTCCAACTCTTTCAGTAGAGCAACCGGATTCACAATACTTTAAAGGAATAGTTTGACAGTTTTTGGGAATATTCTTGTTAGCTTTCTTGCCAAAAGTTAGATAAGGAGATAATACCACTCTCACTTATGTACAGCATTCAGCCTGGCATAAAGACGGGAAACAGAGGAAAGATGCTATCTCCAAAGTTAACAAATCAATCTAACAGCACCTTTTACAGCTTATTGGTGAGAAAGCAGAGGAGCATTATTTTAAAGGGACAAAGTATTTCTCAGCAGCTCGAGGTGGTGGGCGTTTTTTATGATTATTATCAAGAACACTAGACAGGTGTAATAATAATAATAATAGGAAGTAATAGTAATAGGAAGACTATCATTATCAAATCATCATCAAACCCACGCTTGCCCAATCTGAATCACAAAAATGTATTGTGTTTATTGTGCAAAATGTTGTTTACCAAGTGTGTGTTCTGTCTCCAGGGCCCTCTGCTCTCCAGAGTGGTGCAGTCCAGCAGACAGACGGGGTACTGGGACCGCTGATACCGGAGGAGCATGAGTCATGACCTCAGTGGTGCTGGTCGATAATGGTGGGACGGTGGTGGAGTATGTCACAGCTGAAGAGGAGGACCCTCAACAGGTGGGTCAGACCAGAGTTATATTCTAAACTAAAACTTACATTATAAATATTGTGCAGCGAGTCGATCATTGACCGTCTTGCTGCACATAATCCCGCTAAGTACACGGCTACATACTAAATAAACCAACAACTGGATTCACAATTTTAAAATCATTGAATTGATTCCAAAAGTATTGTATTGCTTCTGCCGTACCAACGGTTGAACTGGTTCAACAACGTAACTTAAAAAGACGGCAGCACTGATCGAGTTTTCCTGGAGCTGTCCTAGTCTGTTCACACTTTCTTTTCCATGACCAGTCTTTGAACACTGTAAATCACATACGGTGTTCCTGTTAGTTCTACTTCCTGTCTGTCTGTCTTCTGCTGATTCTCTGCCATCCAGCACTCTGTCTTTAAACCCCTCTCCTTCTCTTGCACTCTTTTTCTGTTCTTTTCTGGGGACAGCAGTTCAATTTACAAATGACTATACAATTGACAGAATAAAAGCAATGGAGACAATAACAAATATTGATTGATAAGAACCAAATCATTTAAACAAATCTATCGACTCAGATGAATACATGATGACTCAGACTTGTGACTCTGACTCGGACTCGAACACAGGAAATGACGACTCGACTCGGACTCGACATGGATTCTTCTTGGGTGACTTAGACTCAGACTCAAGCTTAGGTAAAGGTAAACCTTATTGCCTGGTGTTAACACTTATTTAGCAATAATATGTCACTAGAGAGAAAAGGAGATGGCATGAATATACTTCAACTATCTTCTTATTGAACCACAGAAACTCAGAAGGTGCTACGTCGCAATTGCCCCACAAGCAATCCCAAAACAAAACAACAAAAAGGACCATAGAATCAAGTGCAAACTTTTTCTGGAAAACAGAAACTAAATGAACAGACACACTGGATACTACCTTAAACTGATAGCAAGTCAAAGAAATGTTAATACACTCAAAGCTACATTTACCTTGGGTCGGACATAAGCAAGAGTTACACTGCAACTGCAGTCACAACAGAATTCTCTCTTCCTTTCTCGCAACTGCCGTATTGTCTTGTTTTTCTGATGTCTCGCTGTCTTTCATACCTTTCCCCTGCAGGAGGGAGAGGGGGAGGGGGACCTGGAGTTGGAAGGAGAGGGAGAAGGCGAGTGTGAAGATGAGGAGGCCTATGAAGAGGTGCAGGACAGAGAGGAGGCTGAGTACTTCCCAGCAGTCATTGTGGAGGAGGTGCCCGGCGCCAGCATGGCTGAGGAGCAGGGCTACTCCGCCCAGGTGTTGGTGTACGACGACGAGGTCTACCAGATGCAGGAAGTGGGGGATGAGCAGGAGGTGGAGACAGAAGTGGTGGCAGGTGAGACAGAAATACTCCTGTGTTTAATATCCTTTTGGCGCTGTGGGTGGGTTATATAATATGCGCGAGATGCCAGTCCCCAACTCCGGGGACTTCCGGCCGGGGACTTCGGGTGGCAGTATACACCGTGAAGTGGTTTGCGGCCTGCCAGTAAACCCAAAGCAGAAGAAGACGAAGTGACGTCAGCGGCTCATTTGCGTAATCTTCACTCAGGGAACTTATTCCGGTGTGAACGCGATCTTTACTTAGTTCCATTGGGCACTAAGTGCCGGGGCACTAAGTACGGCAAAAGTACTTGATGTGAAAGCGGCTAAGGACTATCATCCAGCCTCTTTAACACACCCCACTGCCAAACCTTGGTCAATAAGCTACCTGTTTTGTGCTGAGATATTTGACTCGCAGTTCCCATTTACTCTGGGTTATCATTTATGGGTTGCATATTTTAGAAACCAATTTAGCTTTATAGGAACCCCTACAGTTAGCATTTGTTTATCAATGAATCACATGCATTTCCAATAAAACATTGCTCTGGAGTCAGGACGAGTAGGGCGCCTGCATACCCGTGAGACTCTCTATGAGAATGATTTTTTTAAATAATAATGTTTTAGAGAAAAAGTGCATGTTTTGCAATAAGTAAGCAAATGACTGGATAAATGAGATTATTATAAATTCAAGTGTCTCTTTAATTTGTTGTGAAACATCCTTTATATATACAGTCTATGGAAACATCACATGTGTGTGCTGTGAGGCCTCTATGTTCACACACTGCCACCTTGTGGGTGTTTTTTGAAAATGAACTATTGCATAAACTATTTTGGTGTCCGGTAATCTCTTATTAATGGTGACCAGTGTCCATTCTGGTGCACTGTATTCTAAAGTAATACAAGCTGCATTCATTCACTGTCCCACATTTCAATTATTAAACTGAATTTTCAACAGGATGAAGACATTGTCATCGTTATCAGTAAATGTTTGTGATCACACAGTTGATACTGTACATATATAATCAGGGCCGCCCCTCCCTACAGGCCAATCACGCAGGCTGCATGGGGCCCCGCCTTGCGCAGGGGGCCCCGCCCAGAGGGCCTCAGCTCCTGTGCGCAGTTCTCCGCTCAGTTCTCCGCGCACCCCCCGCGAGAGTGAGAGAGAGGTGACAAGCGGAGCACGTCTGTAACCCGACACCGTTGCAATGAATCGACATCTGACCAATCACGGCTTTGATACGGCCACTAGTGCAGGTGAAGAGATGACGGTGAAAAGACAGTTTCAGTCCGGCGCAAGCAAGAGGGGAAAAAAACAAAACATGAAGAAACTAGAGCATCACTCGAAGGTGGGTTATTGTATGAGTCAAATGTACAACTTGCGAATGTTGTATAAGTCAAATTGCCAATTGCCATATTAAAACATCAGCTGCAATTCACGACATGAAGAAGGCAGTCTCTGCATAGCATATAGGCTAATGGAGATGCAGTTATTTCCAGCATTCTTTATTTACCATTCATTCAAGTATTTTATTGCCTGTTATCTGCTAACTGTCNTCTAGCCTCGGGACCCACTTTGGCAATAAATCGCGACCCACCATTTTGAACCACTCAAATCTATTCAACAAAAAATCGTGCTATAATATATACGCCTTTGAAAGGCGTATATATTATAGCACGATTTTTTGTTGAATAGATTTGAGTGGTTCAAAATGGTGGGTCGCGATTTATTGCCAAAGTGGGTCCCGAGGCTAGAAGACTCTTTCATTTTGTATAAACCTACTGACCATCAACGTCCTGTAACACAGTGTATGAAGCCATGCTCTGTTACTCTAACTGCTGCATAATAGATGAGCCATGCTGTGCTGGTGTTCCCTCGCTACCGAGACCAACAGGATATCTGCCCGGATGCAAATCCTCTCTCTTTATTTATTCAACAGCGTGGAGCAGACACTCATGTGCAGAGCTGTGTGTCGCTTTGGAGAGCTAGATGCATTTGGGTGTGCAGTATGTATGCAGGGGTGATGATTATATACATGTCAAACATCCACAGGTCTCCCAGAGGGGCATGTAATGGACATGTGGTGCTTCAGAGACCCAGGAAATCAGGACGGAGTGATCATGAATTTTAGCAGTTTCATTTTCTTATGTTAAATTAAATAAATTCTCTCAAAACCATTCTCCTCCATTTATTCTCAATGTGTGAGAATACTTTATATTTCACCTGTTGTGTTACAGAGTGTTAAACAGTGCTGCGCTACGTGTCGTTATATTGCTGTTTAACTGACAGAAGCTGTGATGTAAGCTCATGGAACAGTTGGAGATTGTGACACACTTGGCTTTTGTAATGTATCCGGAGCATTAAAGTAACTTAATTAGAAAGCCATAGAGATTAAGTGAAATACAGGCACAGCATGCACAGACCTGTTTGTGGTGTATGTGTACTCGGTCAGTAGAATGATTTGGCACTAAAACAACAACATGCATTGAATGACAATAAGATCTCATAGGTGCACTGCATACGTTCTTTTTCTCTTTAATGCTATTTCAAGAGTTGTAAAGTAATGACATATTTTTGTCGGCCGTAACTGAAGTGAGCATCCCTGGATTAAAGTCAACAGAATTTTGGAAAATTGCAGTAAATAAGATCTGTTGCAAAAACATGTTTATGACACACATGTTCTTCAGCAGGATAATCTCCACATAATAACACCACTGTGATGATTTTTGAAGAACAAACAAACTCGGCAGAAGTAAATAGCTAACGCAATGATATGAACAAAGAACATGAAGTTTGCATGACTTCACGCCTACACCTCTAAACTAAATGCGGACACATGTTCGTGTGCTGGCGTTAAGTTCTCTCATTTAGCCACTTGATGGCAGCCGCTGTTTCTAAGACATGTAAAAGCTACAGAAGTTCACCAGTGGAGTATTTATTGACATATTTTACGTCGTATAACAAAACGTGGAAATCTCAGCCCTTTTTGCGGGAATAAAACCAAACACTTATTAAAAAGAAACATTAACTTCGAGACAAGAGAGCCCAATAATGCTAAAATGCTCACTCAAGGTTTAGGACTCATTATATTTTCTCCAAGTAAGTTATTAAAGAGGCCCTATTATGCTTTCAGGTTTTTACCTTTCCTATGTTGTGTTATATAGGTTTTTGTAAATGTACGGAGGCTGTGGCTAAGTGGATAGTGTGCTGGACTTGGAATCAGGGGATAGCAAGTTTGAGTCCTACTGCAGTCAGCATGTCGATGTGTCCCTGGGCAAGACACTTCACCCAAATTGCTCCTGTGGGGATTTTCCACAGTACTGAATGTATGTAAGTCGCTTTGGATAAAAGCGTCTACAAATAACATGTAATAATAATAATGTAATAGTAATAAATGATCTGTAAAGGCTAAAATCCCTGTGCTCTCTCCCACACTCTCCCCTATGCCTGAAACAACTCCATTGGACTCCTTTGTTTACTTCTGTAACATAGTGACATCACTACACAACACTTGCGCTTCTATTGGCTAGTGCTCCAACACATTGTACTTGATAGGCTAGGTGGCATATATCCAAGCGGTTGACCAATCACAACAGAGCTGGCCAGCTAGCCAGCTAGCCAATCAGAGCAGACTGGGCTGGGCTCTGGTTTCAGACAGAGGGTGAAAAGAGCACAGGCAGTATGAGAGAAATAAAAAGCTTTTTGAACATGAAAGCATGGAGACATTTCCCAGTAGAGGCACTAAATACAAATATAAGCATGATATGTCCTCTTTAAAAACCACCATCTATGAGGAAAATAGTTATGCACCACACAATGTGAAGCTAAAGGCGGGGGTCAAATGAAACATGCAGCAGGCTGCAGGCCGAGTTCACAAATCCGTTGATAACATTTGAGCACAGACACACCCACACGAACCAAACAGACCAGATCTGTTAGGAGTAGTCTCTCAGGTAAGATTTAAAAACAGGTATAACAGGACCTGCTGGAGCACTGCTAACACGTGGCTGCCTTTTCCCTTCTCAGCTTAAACATTGATGAGTGCCATTGCAGCAAACCATTGAATCCAGAAACTACAAGAAGATAAGGAAAGTAATGAATCCTTTAAATATAGTCAAAGTCAGTCACTGAGCTGCACACTTACCCTGCCCCAGTTGGTATGCCAGAAATTGAAAGTATTTTTGCTGCAATGTAAAGAATATTGGACATACAGCTAAACCTCTCTTTAAAAACGTTCACAATAGGGGTGGAACTACACAATTAGCTTGCTCTAATCTTGTTTTGGTTCATGGTGAATAAGTAGCAGTCTCAAGACATTACACATTACAGCAGAGTTATCCTGACACGCCCACTTTCCCCCCACTATGAAATCCCAACAAACACATCCAAACTAATAAGAAGGAAGACAGTCCTAACTTGCCTTGCTGCAGTAAAGTTGAAGCTTGCATCTTTACTTGGCTGCCACTTAGAATCCACCAAGAGACACGAGGAGAGTGAAATAATTGTAGCGTGTAGCGTAAGGAAAAGCAACAGGGCTTTTCCTGCACCCTTCTCTGTCTCTCCACCTGTATTTGACCCTCTTCCACACTTCCTGTCAGTCTGACATCCATCCATCCATCCATCCATCCATCTGGTCGTTCATCTCCCCTTTCTGCCTGCATGCTTGCTACTTGTCTGTCGAAGAACCCTCTCAGGGAGAGTCAGCATTTCAGACCCCGCCCTGAGCTCAGATCACATGACAAGGGTGGAACACACACACACACACACACACACACACACACACACACACACACACACACACACACACACACACACACACACACACACACACACACACACACACACACACAGTCACATGATCCTTCAACAACAGAGCTTTTGTTCCAAGTAACTGGGGCTGCTGGTAAAGATACAGCGCCCTGCCTTGTGCCCTGCCAACACACACACAGAGACACAAAGATGACACAACGTGCACATACACCTCAAGCATGACCTTAGGATTTACTTGACATTCACCCTACCTCACACACACATACGCAAGTTCCACTATAATTCATGCTCTACATGATATGGTCTTGCACTATTTTT